AAAAGCTAAAGACAATTAGAGCATGATTCATTAATATTTAATCTATTATTTATCAATAAAAGCATTAGGTAGATTTATTACCGATGTATAAAAACTCTGTCATTGTAATTTGAGAAAAAAAACGATTTTGTTTGGGCACACTTTTTAACATAGTATTTTCACATTGTTATTAATAATAAAAAAATACGAGTAAGTTTTTAGGTTCAGGTTTAGGTAAGTTGTTTAGTATTTGAAAATTATTCACAATTTTATGATATTTTTTAAGTCTTATCAAAAATTTTATTATAATTTTAGATTTTTTACGGTTTTTACGATGCAAGTTTACCTATTATATAATTTTGTATTTGACTAATGTTTTATATAAATACTAATGAAATTTAACGATTCTGTAAGTAATCACAACAACATGAAGTTTTTTGCAATTGTGTTAATTTTTTTCTTTTTTGTCGCACCAACTTTTGAACAAGAGAAAGTTTTTTTCCAAGAAGAAAAATTTCTTGGTTTATCATTGAACATAATTTTTTTTAAAGTCTTGTTTATATTTACTGTCTCTAAACAGAAACAGGGTATTTTTCTCTTTTGAGGTAATTTTACTTGATTTTGGGTGATTTGTAACGGTTTTTAGGGTGCTTTTGAGGTAATTTTGTGTGATTTTCAGTCATTTTTTCATGCACTTTCTAATAATCATTTTCAATTTTTGAAATCATTATTATATTTTTTTAATAAGCAAGAAAACTCCATAAAGTTTCTTAGTGTTATTGGAGAACTTATTAGACAACATATTCAGTTCTAGAGTCGGAGTAGTTGCCTATCTTTTAAAAGTTTGCGAGAATTTTTAAATTATTACACTAGCACAATAATTTTCCATTTCCAATAAAATTAATAATTTAAAAGAAAAGCTAAAGACAATGAGAGCATGATTCATTAATATTTAATCTATTATTTATCAATAAAAGCATTAGGTATAATTTCATATCAAAAATCCAAATAAAAAATTATAATCCCTTGAATGCAACGATAAAATATTAAATTAATATTGACTTAAAAAAAGTTAAACATCACAAATTCTCTCTATTTCCGCAATTAGTGCGCGTCAGCTAATTTCGGTTTAAAAACCCGAAAACAAACACGGATCATAGATAATGAGTTACGATATTTCCTCTTCATTTTATTCCCCCCCTCAACCGTGAAATGCGTTATTTTGACCACTAAATATTCAAATCGTCGATTTTTGCCTCGCTTCTCACGCTTAAATTCGGTCACTTGACTTCTTGCCCCAAGTGGTGGGCAGTGAATTCGATAACGGTGGGAATTACAAACCCGAGCGTTAATTGTTTTCGTTATCAGTGATAAGTCGCGATAGGCGCAGTTTTGTCATCACATGAAACAATCCAGTCTCGTGAAGAAACGCGATGTTGATAATAAAGAGAAGAAGAGAGTGGGAGTTGAGTGGTGAAACTGAAAATCGCGCAGTTTCTGTGTAGCGATGGAGAAGGTAACATCCACACCGTCGCTACATCCGAAATTCCTGAAACGGCCTGATTCACTCCAGTTGGAGCTTTTGCCCATCCCGGAGGATGGGCCCTTGGCCAACCACAACCAAAGCTCCACGGGGTCGATGCATGTCGGGTTCAAGGACCTCACCTACACCGTCAAGGAGGGAATCCTGCGAAGGAGTGAGTCCTGTTAATTTTTTTGAACCATTAATTTAACTTATTTCCTCTTGGGATTTTTTTTCAGTTTGATCTAAATACTGAATTTTTTTCATTTTTTTGATCTAAATAATAAACTGGTATCAGTTTCGTGCCTAATCAATAATTATGGAAATGACAAAAATTTGACATAGTGGCACGCAAATTTGTAATTTACTTTGACGGCACGTTTTTAAATTTTTTGATCAAAACTTTTGTTAAAAAAAAGGGTTCAATTTATTAGTAAAAAAATTTAAATAAAAATGTTTCAAGCACGCCAATCCCAACCAGTTTTATTCAATGAATAAGACAAGAAAAAAATTGTTACTTTGTCTCATTCTTGCTTAATTTATTATCTTTTTTGTAGAGATTTAATGAACAAATACATAAAAGTTGTGATGGTTTCCAAAGTGCAATTTTTAAATTTATGATAAATTTTTCTAGCAACAGACTTTGTTATCAATTATTTTTCCTATTTTGTAAGGGATCGTTGAATGTTGCAGCTGTTTGATTGATTCTAGTGATAAACACCTGTTTTCCTGATAAAAAATGAAATCGATAAAGTTTGAACTTCCTAGCGAAGATTATGTATTTTTAATTTGTTGAAAATGGCAACATGGATGATAACCACATTTGCCGTGAATTTTTTATCAGACGATCAATGAGAGGTTTTGATCAAACTAATGACAACACTTGAACTTAGTTTGACCCCGTTTTATTAATTAGGAACAGTCTTTCGTTCAGTGCAATTACCACTGAAAAATCATGGTTTGCTTGGCGAAAAAAATGTGTACAATTAATTCCAATTTCAAAATAATTCCACCGAAACTCCTGTAATTCCAAAAAAAATTAGAGATCTATCGTAATTGCATTATTTTTAGTTTAATTTTTGTAATTCCATATTCCAAATTAATTCCTGTAACTCCAACTTAACTTTTGTATTTCAGAAATAATTGCTGGAATTTCAAATTAATTCTGATAGTTGTAATAAGAAATTTAACGTAATTTTGAAAAGAAATTACCAGTGCCTATTTTTAAATTCCAGAGTTAACGGCTCCTCGGATCATAGTTTTTGTAAAAAAAGGTTTTACAGTGAGTTGATATTCGAAAAAAAATGCAGAACTTAGAAACAAAAAAAAATCAAAATTTTATTTTTGAGAATCGTCACATTTTTATTTTTTTTTAATTTCTATTTCAAGAATATAATGAATAATGATCAATAAAAATTAAAGTGCTATAAAAAGTGGACCGTATTTTGAGAATGAAATTTTGTTTTGTTTTTTTTTCAAAATGGCAACTTATGTAAAAATTTTTTTTATAAAAATTGAATATAAAGTAGATAGCTGTATCCTTAGATCATAGCCTTGGGTTACTATTTAAAAAAAATAAAAATTTTGCTGAACAAAAAATGAATAGTTTAAGCAAAAAACGTTTGATTCCATACTTTGTATTCACCCTGTATACAAAATTCAAAGTGGAAACGCCTTTGCTTGTCAGAATTTTTTTTATTAGATGTAGAATAGTTAATATTAATGCATTTTTATTTTCATCTTTTTAAAAATATGTATTTTTAATAGTTCAAAATTTTTCGGGGGCTCGAGTCTCGGTAAAAGGGGTCTAGAATTTAGGAAAATATACCTTGAGGAAAAACTAGAGATGGAATAAAAGAAAAAAAATGTCAAATAATTAAATGAAAAATAAGAGAAAACAGTAAATGAGTAAAATTTGGTATTTGTACATAATAAGAGGTTTGAATGTGTTTAATAGTAGAAATATTGAGGTAAATTACGAGCTTGAAAAATAAAAATATAACTTTTGTGGCGGATCTAAGAAAATAAAAGTAAAAAAAGAATCAGGAATAAATTTTTATGAAAAATTTGAGGAGGTAGAGAATCGTAGAGAAAAAATCTTTGGTTAAGTAAATAATAAAACATTTAGAAAAATATGCTTTGATGGGAAACTAGAGAAAATGACATAAAGTATGAAAGGAAAAATAAGAGAAAATAGTAAATATTTCTAACTAAGTAAAAAAATTGAGAGTAGAGAAATTGAGATAAATTATCAACCTTTAAACAAGTAGAAAAATAAAAAATACTTTTTAAAAGGAACCGAAAAAATCATATTTGAGGAGGTAGAAATTTTTTATTAGATGTAGAATAGTTAATATTAATGCATTTTTATTTTTATCTTTTTAAAAATATGTATTCTTAATATTTAAAATTTTTTTCGGGTCTCGTGCATCGATAAAAAGGGTCTAGAATTTAGGAAAATATACTTTGAGGAGAAACTAGAGAAGGTGAAATAAAAGAAAAAAATGTTAAATAATTAAATGAAAAATAATCTCTTAATTATTTTTGTACATAATAATCTAATTTATTTTTGTACATAATAAGAGATTTGAACGTGTTTTGGAAAACAAAAATACTTATTGAAAACGTGAAAAAAAACTGATAATAGTAGAAATATTGAACTAAATTACGAGCTTGAAAAATAAAAAATATAACTTTTGTGGCGGATCTAAGAAAAGAAAAGTAAAAAAAGAATCAGGAATAAATTTTTATGAAAAATAATAATATAAATAATAAAACAGATTTGAGGAGGTAGAGAATCGTAGAGAAATTGAAAAAAAATCTTTGGGGAAGTAAATAATAAAAATATTTTGAAAAATATACTTTGATGGGAAACTAGAGAAAATGACATAAAGTAAAAAAATTACAAATAATTAAAGGAAAAATGAGAAAACAGTAAACATTTCTAACTAACTAAAAAAACTGATGATGTAGAGAAATTGAGATAAATTATCAAGCTTTAAACAAGTAGAAAAATAAAAAATAGTCTTTTAAACGGAACCGAAAAAATCATATTTGGGGAGGTAGAAATTTTTTATTAGATGTAGAATAGCTAATATTAATGCATTTATATTTTTATCTTTTTAAAAATATGTATTCTTAATATTTAAAAATTTTTCCGGGGCTCGAGCCTCGGCTAAAAGGGTCTAGAA